CTCGTGAAGGAAATCGGAAAAGAGGAATTTTTGCTCGCGGATGACGAGTCGTCGGCTCTCTCTTCATCTCACGCCTCACTCCTCTCAAACCCAGTCATCCTCGAGGTCCCACTCCTTCCGAGTCAGAAACCCTCGCTGAGAGTCGTGTAGTCGTCGCCGGCCGCGTACTCGCCCTGCATCAAAGTGAGCGGATAGCATCCGGTGACCTTGCCACCAGTGACAGTGTACTGGAGATCCTCGCTCATGAGCATGGCGGCACCGTCCTCGGGGTCCTTAGCGAGGAAGATCTTGGAACCCGAGTTATCCTCATAGTCACAGACAAGCAGGTAGAAAACCTGCTCATTGGGATCGACAGCCAGGTAGAAGTAGTCATCGGTCTTGTCATCCTCGCTATAGGGAGCAAAGGCGACGACGACACCAGCCGAGGGGATATTCTCCTGGTCGTCGAGGCGGAGACGAGAGACGCCGACGGCAGACATGGAGTTGTTATAGTAATGCATGAGACGCTGGCCACCGTCCGTGACGAGGACGTCGTTCTTGGACGACCACATCTCAGAGCAGTGCTCATTGTCCTCGCCATCAACACCAAAGGCGTACATGTTGCCGTTGGAGCAGGAGACGATCATGGTAGTGGCCTCGGGATCAACTAGAAGCGCAAGGTCATAACCGGTGCTTGTGTTGTAAGGGCGATTAGGGAGGGTCTCAGGGGTGTAGCTGAGGACGCTGGTGCCATTACCCTTGATCTTGGAGGTGATGTCGACGACCTTGCCCGTGATGTTTGCGGGGGCAGTGACCACAGCAGATGTGGTTGCCTGACGAGCGCGGACCTTGGTGGCTTCCTGGAAGTCAGAGTTCTCGAAGTCTTCCTCAGAGCCCCCGTCACCATCTTCGGGGTTCTCCTCACCGCCGTCTTCGGGGTTCTCCTCACCACCGTCTTCGGGGTTTTCCTCGCCGCCGTCCTCTGGGTTCTCCTCGCCGCCGTCCTCCGGGTTCTCCTCGGGGTCGGTGGGATCAGTTGGGTTCTCGGGATCCGTAGGGTCAGTGGGCCCCTCAGGATCCGTAGGACCAGTTGGGTTCTCGGGATCCGTAGGAAGGTTGGACTTTCCGGGAGTTGCGGGGTTGGAGGGCGTAGCAGAAGCCGTTGGGTCGCGGTTGCGGTAGGCTCCTGACCGGGAACACCAGGGAGTCTG